AGAGCTGGTCAACAGACTGCTCTTGTATGCATACTGGGCTCGCTTTTTACTGATCTGTGAGAGCTCTTCAAAACCAGGATTTAAGACCCAAGTACGGTTGTCCAACTGACGTCCACATCGGTTTCCTCTCAGTTCAATTCAGTTTTTCAGTTGACAAACTGCACCGAAATGCAGCGACCTCCAGCTCCGTTCATTGAAGATGATGAAAATAAGAGAATGACGGCAACAGCATGGAGGAGGTAGCTCGATCTGTGCATTGACAACAAATGGATCTGTTTGCCTAGTGTAGGAGGAAGGGACAGCAACGGAGAGAAGGCAATAGTTTTGATGCAAATGCACCATTAGACACGTGACACAGCCACGTTTGTCAGGGTCATTAACCAGTGATCTGTCTTGTCCAGCGGCCACGATCCGGGAGATGGTAGTTATTAACGTGACCGAGGTGATTGGTAAGAACCTTCATGCTTCGTTCTCAAGTCATGAAGAGACCGCCACTCGGCCGTCTCAATTCCACACACGACACAGCGCCACGGGTCAAACGGTTATCTGGCATACGAGGGTGACCGGCTGGTCAAAAGATGTAGGTAGAACTTCCCCGAAAACCATCTGGTGAAGTTAAACATTACCGATCAGATACGCACAATAATTTGGAAGCACCAATGGTTAAAACCAGGGGGTTTCCGAAGATAATCCGTACGAACCGGCAACGTTTCTGATCCTTAGTAGGAAGCACTAGACCTCGGGATCATACACTGTAGTTATGAGAGTCAAACTGATGTCACTTCAACCCCACAAATGTCAGAGGCTGGCAAACGCCGTGCATAGGCTTATTCTTGCTTCCGGTTGCGCAAATCTGGTGGTCCAGAAGCTGCTGCTGATAGTACTTCTGGGGTTGAAATTGTGCTAGGCCAAAGAGTTGAGGGATCCCTGCCTGAATTCCTGGCTGTCGACAGTTGCCTCTGTGTTGCTCATTTGGCAACATGAACGCGCTGATAATCGTTGTCTATTCATCATATCTGCTTACACCCCAAGAGATTAAAACTCTGAGAACCTCAAAGACGGCTTTTACGACACTTTGAGAGCTTTCTGCGGCGGACTAAAAACTGAGATAAGTTTGTGGTTGCCGGTGATATGTGTGCAAGTCGGTAGACTTAGTGCTACTGAGGCTGAATAGGAAGATCGCCCTCGATCGGAATCGGGACACATAGAAAACAGCGAAAATCTGCCGCCGTTACGTGTATACTAAAGATTGCTTCTGTGCAGTACTACCGAAACAACCGAAGCTGATTGGCCACATGTTGCGTCCACCAACATGCGAGCCAGCATCCAACACAGAAAGCACACTGGCATTAGCTGTCGGTGGCGTAGGTCCATTACTGGTTGTCACTCATGTGGATTCGGATCACGTGCTTGTTCATTACCGCTACCCGTTGCGCATTTTATGGTCGCAAAAAATGCGCACAACAAGCCTGGACACCGACAGGCTCTCGGGCCTTGGTGTGAAACAAGTTTATCAGAACCAGTCTGAATACCCTATCTTGAAAGTTGAAGAGATGGAGGAGGCAACAAACCTTGGAAACTTCCGTAAACTGTCCCTTCAAGCTATGATGTCCGACAAGAGTGCCTACACGTACTGCATCACCGTTAAATTTCGTCATCGATTTGTTAGTGAGGCGAACTCTGGAAAGCATCCAAAGAAACCTGTCGACCAGTAATATGCAGACGATGTTCCTATTTTGGATGAGCAGGAAGAGCAAGCAGCAGGTCATGGGCTCGAAATTATAACTTCCACAAGATGCACACCGTTTCTTTTCAATAAGGATGAAACCGCTGTACGGTGCTCCTCAATTCCCCAGCACAAACTGACCTAACCGACAGGCCGAAATCACAGTTGAAAACCACTAGAAAAGCCTACATAGGTTATACAGTCCTTCAGAATGTACTTCGCGTTCACACAGTGCAAAGTCATGCTGCAGGACTTACAGTATTTGAGCATGTCTTTGAAAATATACGTAGAGGCAGTAGAAAATTTACAACATACGTATTTTGAAGGTGGTACTAACTCTGACAGTGGCGCGACAGACGGAGTGAATGCACTAATTTCGGAGGCCAGAATTGCATTTGCTAATTTGCCCAACTTGTGGCATCAGAAAGAAATCTCACTGGGTATCATGAGACGTGTGTACCAGACTACAGTACAGGTTGTATTGCTGTACGCCTGCAAGACGTGGCCACTCCAGGTGGGTACATCCAGGACTTTAACAACCGACATCACAAAAGTATAACTGGAAACGGTTGAAATAAACGAATCCGGCACGAGGTGGTCAGAAGGCCGATTTTATTGAATCAGAGGACATTTTCCGCAAACTATGCATCCAACATTGCAAGCTAAGATGGCTGAGCCGTGTGTTAGGCATGCCAAGTTACGGCCTACTGAGAAGACATCTGAT